TGATAAATGTCTTGAAGTATTTTGATTTGGGAAGTTATTCTTGAAAGAAAAGATGTGGCAATCTTAATCTTATTCAAGTTCAGATTATGGAATTTACTTCAAGTAAAAGAGGTTCAGACTTAAAATTATAAATGAAGGATTCAGATTTAGAGAACTGCCCATCCTAACACAAATTTTGAATATAAGTCCAGAACGTAACAAAGTCTAGAACGTGACACGAGCTCAGAACGTGACACAAGTTCGGAACTCATACTTTTTCAATAAATTGATTGGCTCAATCTTGAAGATTGTTTTGCAACGATTTAACATGCAAAACATCTTAATTGATTGGCAATTCAATCTCGAGACAAGTTACTTTCCAAACGACAAGTTCTACTTATAAAAACCAAGACTTTGATTGTATGGACAACCTAAATCAACAGAATTCAGATTTTATCCCTCAACGGCTACTCAATCATCATGATATAGTTCTGTCTAATGGGTAGATTGAAAGACGATCCTCCAAAGGCTGTCCAATGGCCAGATTGAAAGTGAAGAAGTATAAAAGGAGACCAAAATGCTGAAGAACAGAAGAAAAAGAGACAAAGTCCATAATCTACAATTCCAAAATCTGAGCGTACTTCAAACATTTATACTTGTCTTTTGTGAGTTACAATCTGTGATCTTGAGAGAATTACTAAAAAAAGTGATTAAGTGAGTAGTGAGATCCATCATACACTGAGTGTTATCGCTCAAAATTGTAATATCTTGTTGATCATTTAGTGGAATTCAGGTAGTAAACTGTCAGTGTGGGAGAGTGGACGTAGGTTTGATTTAAGCCAAACCACTATACGTCTTGTATGCGGATTTTCTTATCCCTAAAACTCCTTCTGTTTATCTTACTTTGTTGCACACTTGCACAATTGATTTCAAAGATTGTTTTAAATCTAAATGTTGCTTCTTAAGTTCATAATTTGTTATTGATCTGTGGAATTCCGCTTAAATTGGTCAAGAATTGTTTAAATCATCTATTCACCGCCCTCTAGGTGATACTTGTTAGCCACCTCAATGTATACTAGCTAAATATGATGTGGGCATAGTTCGATTACAGCACGACATGTTCTCTAGCATTATAAAGACACATGTGCCCAAGATCGTCAAGCCAAACAATTTTTTTAATAAATTGGGGCGCATGAGCACAATTGCAAGCTACCTAGAGTTCCATGAAACACCTCACAAGCCCTATAAGTCTTGACATTTGAGGTGTCCAGCTGATTCTTCACCAAATCAATTCACACCTACTTTAAGAGATTTGAATAAATAACTTCCAATTCTCTAATCGATAAATTCTTTATGTCCCAACCACCTATGTTGATCTCGGTTCTCGCTCGTTTAGACCGGTCTTCTCCAACTCATCACTGTGACAGGAGAAACGTGAAGTTCAATTTTTTGCAAGGGGAGTTACCTAGAAAGTGGTTTTCTCTTATCTTGTCCCAAGTAGTTGGAAGTTGGAACAGTGTAATTACCAACGTTATGTTGGTGAGAACGTGAAAGGTGAGCGTGGATGTCCGGGAAATTTGAATTACACTCAATTAGGCTGTTGCCCGCAGAGCGGATTTGTCATGTTCATGTTATATGTTGGAGTCACGTCTATCTGCGTGACATGAGTTCCGAGGTATCATCGTACCAATTCTTGTGTCAAAGCGTATTTGTACACTTCTTACGTACTATTCCATGCACGCGAAGATCGTGCGATCGCACCTCCTACTCTAGGAAAAGTACTTTGCCTTATACAAACCACATGCGATCACGTGAGTCTACTAATTCAAATTATGATAGATTTGTTCCAAAGAAACTTGCTATATATATATATATACATATATACATATATGTCGATACCTTTTCCTTATGTAAAGAAGACCGATAAAACAAAGAAGGTCTAGTTATCATTTCGTACCAATCTTAATAACCTTAGGTTTATCAAAACCTCACCATTCACTCAATCCACCGCCACTTGTGGAAGCCACCATCACCTCCACTCAATCCACCACCACTCGTCCAACCACCGTTACCAACACCAACACCGACACCAACACCGACACCATCCTTGACTCTCATTTTGTTTCTTTCTTGTTGTTTTTGTGGAACAGTAATTTCATTCCCTTTTTGAACGAATTAATTGGAATTTGGCTAATTGGAACTGGAGTTCAGCCTTCATGTTTTTTGCCCGCTCATCCAAAGTGAATGAGGATGTGACGAAGATGGCGCTAATCGACGGAGATAGAGTTGACAGACTATGATGGCAAAGCTGGCACTGATAGATGGGAACAGTGATCGACGGGATATCGCACTATTATCGAATTGTCATTTTTACAACAAAAGGCTTTAAAATCCTGCAAAAGGGTTTAAAAATTGCAAGGTCAAGGCTTTAATTAAAGCTTCTTTCTTCTTTTTTGTGTATGGTCACAGATCACAACAGCGCAGTGAATTAAGAAACTGGAGATCATGATTTTGATTGAATGTCCTGATAACATTTGCACATTCATTGCCTTCTCCGACCTCTTATCAAGCTTTTGAGATAAGTTACGATACTGCACACGAATTCATTTATAGGTCTTTCTCAATATATGTAGAGCAAAAGGAAAACATTTTCGAAATTGTGAAGCAGTGCGCAAGGAGTGGCAATAGAACAGCTTTATTCAATGTTTCCAAATTCGAAGGTCTTGGAACCTCCTTTGAAAAAAATAGTATTTCAAATATGTGCTTTCATTATTAAAAAATAAAAAAAGATGAATATGTAGACTAAGATATTGGATAAAAATTGCACGAAATGGAGATGTAATAATATTTTAAGAGAACTAAGACAATACATTCTACAACTCAAACAAGGCAAACTGGTATACGAATAATATTTAGAATTCGATATTCTATAACTACACTTCGCCGATCTAATATTCTTTCTTATTTTCTTTTCTTTTCAAATAAATATCTTTATTTATGCTATAAAAAATCATGTAATTTTTTATATCTTTTAAATATTTATTTTGTCTATATCTTTCAAATTTTGATATTCCAAGTCCAGAAAAAATGAATATACTTTCTTTCTTTTCAAATAAATCAAATTCAAGTTGATACGGAAAATTTCTTACCTTTTTGAAATGTAATCGATCTCAATGATTTAGTATATCTTTTTCTTGAAAGATCTCAAATTTTGAAAAGTTATTTCATTCTTTATTTAAAACTTTTTTCACTGTTTTGTCCACAAACAACGTGTGTTGCTTTTTTGTTAGTTGACAAAAAGAGAAAAAACAATTACATGTGCATTTGATGCCTTGTCTTTAGTCGCAATCATTTGCCATCCAAATTGAAGATTGGATCTAGGGTTTTCTTGTTAAGTGAAGTCATTTTCCTTTGACCAATTTATTTTTCCATGTTAAACACTGAGAAATGGAAAAAAGAAGAAGAAGGTTTTACGGTATAATAACATCCTCCATACAAGCACAGCCTAGTTGGAACGGACGTTAAAACTATGTAGCTTAATTCAAGCCCAAATAATAATATATACACTAATCGAGTTAATCTGAGTCGAGCTTGACCAATTAGAGATTTCCCAAAGTCGGAGCTTGAACTTGGGTAATCAAGCTTGATCGCACATCTGGATCTATTATAGGGTGCCTGATAATCGGGTTTTGTCAGGCTTGAGGTCTACTCAATTTGACTCATTATTTGGCCAAGAAAAAAGCTTAAGTCAATTACACCCCATTGTCTGCTAATCTAATTTCTGCCTTGTGTGTTTGCTCTTTCCACGCTATTGGACATTAGCGACTTGCTTGTAATGTACCATGGGGACAGACTCAAAATTGAGCGAACGCTACATCGTCGTCACTCATCAATGCCTGCAATGTCGGACTAAGCATCATTCCTCGAAGATTTTAATGAAGCGGGAAAATCCGAAACAAATTAATCGGAAGTCAATTAGCTAGAAGTATTTCAACTTCCAGTTTGCACAGATTTGCAATATAATGACTTGTAAAATCATTGTCTGATGTAAGGCGCTCTTGTTTTGTTCAAAATTGATTGTCGCAAAAGTATCCACAAATGTGTTCTTGTGCTCAGAACAAGAGCAAACTTAGGCTTATAGTGAGAACGGGTGCACCTTGACATTGACTTGAGGATGGAAAAAAGTAAAAGAACTGGTGTTCCTTTTTTAACCTTTCCTTTCTTTCGGTTTGTGTCTTGCGGAAAAGATTTTGCTGCGGAAGATAAGTTTGATTCTCTGTAAAAACTTTATTCTCTTAATAATGCCCTGCATCTTTCACCCATCTATTTCTATTTTTTTTTTGGTTGGACATCTATAACTAATTGAAAATGCCGATTGATGCAAGTAAAATCAACGTGTCTTCAATTAATTCTCTGGACACGCGGTCGGTTAGTGCTTGACTAAAATTGTTCAATGCTCCCTCTTTTTTTATTTTCTTTAAATTTACCATAATCAGTTGATGGACTTCATCTCGCGTGTTACAAAAAAAACTGAAATCACATAATTTTATAATGGTCTACAATATTATAATTTTATAATCACCTAGCTGTAGCTTCCCTCTCTGTCCAAACCTTTAATGCGCCAGGGTAAAACCACCCTTACACGCAAGTCTGCTTTTAAAGAAAAGGAAGAACCACCCTTCGATCCACATCGCAAGTCTCCATCATCATCCAGAGTCTCTCTTCAACTCTTTGCCTTTCAGGCACTCCTGCCGGAGGACTGCAAATGGCTGCCATGGCAAACACCATCAAAGGCCATAAAATGGTTCTCTTTGCCTTGCAGGCGCCCCTGCGGGAGAACTGCAACGGCACCATTAAAACGGGTAAGTTTTGGCTCCTCATTTTCATGGATGGCCCCGATCTGTTGGGCGCATCCAACGGGCAATAAGCCATCGCCCACTGTATAAAGCTCAGCCTCCTTTCCGTGAAAATCGCACTGCCATTTTCCTCCGCTTAAGGAAAAAAAAAAAAAGACCAAACAAATGGCCAATTACCCTCCCGCTGCTCTCGCAAGGCTTGTGGAACTCTCCGAACAGCGGAGGACTCGCGATCTCGAGCACAGCCGCGCGCTTTCAACTGCCACGAGAAATGGGAAGAGGTACCCAGGATGCAATTTCAATCGCAACGCCATGTTTATTTATTCTAAATTTCGGGCTTTTGTTTTTATTTGCTTTCTCTTTTCAGAGCGGTTTCTGAAGCGCAAGGAGCCTTCATCGAGGCTAAAGAAGCATACTCGTCTGAAGGTTACCGAGTGCTGAACAGAAGCAGACTGACTGTCCATAATCAGGAGCAGATAAAGGCTTTACTTGAGTTACTGGATGAAGTTGAACCGCCCTATCTGCTTTATAGGGTGACGGTTAATGGTCCGGTCCCGGATGAAGATAATGTAGACCCCCTTGTTCAACAAATGAGGCAGAGTCTGGAGGCGCGTGGATTCGCTCTCGTGGGAGGGTAAGTTCCCGCCTTTGATTTTTTTCTTCCCTTCTTCCCGGTAGAGAGGGAATACAGATAGAGAAATCTCTCTCCACCATACCGGAGAATTTCTTTTTAAGGGCCTCCTTAGGTCCAAGGATCCCTTCTCGCGGATGGGTATAGTTAGCAGTGCTCTCGCTCTCTTGTGTATTTTTTTGTTCCATTGTATTTCATTCTCTTTTTTATTTTTTAATTTGTTTGCAGGAACACGTACGCCCTTCCGAACACGGAGGCGAACGCGCAGGGATGACTGGGGAAGAAACACAGAGTAGAGTAGAGTAGTGTAAAGTGGAGGAGAAACAGAGGAGGAGAAAAGTAGAGTTGGAGCAATGTAGGTTCCTTTTTATGTTTTTCTTTTGGTGTCCATTTACATTTTGAATGTCCTCGCTTGCTTGGGATCGAACCGACCTTTTTCACTTGTTATGATGGATGAAGTGAGTTGATTGGTGGAATGCCATCTGGTGCATAAGGTCGGAGCAAAAAGTTATGGAGTTCATTTCGGATTTGTTAGTAAATCGTACTGAAACTTATTCCAGTTTTTGTTAGATGTCTGGGTGCTTTCGCTCTCTGTTGTTTTATATCACGTGCCTTCTGGGGAAGGCAAAAACATAGTGTTTAAACTTCGAACGAGGAAGAAACAACTATCATCAGCTCACCAAAAGAAAAAGAGAAGGGAACACTTGCAAGCGGCTGACCATCTCATCTCCGCTGACTTGAAGCAAAACTCAATTGTCTCCATCTTCGACCAAAAGAAAAATAATTGTCTCGATGAAAAGCTAAGACTGACGTGAACAAAGGGCAAAAAAGTTGTTTCCTCGCCTGAACTTTCAGTTCGCTAGTGCTAATGGACTGAAAAGACCGGACAACTTCAAATACAGCTTTATCTTAGCTTTATGTATTTTGACACCACATATGAACCAGAGAGTTCGTTCCTTTTTCGTGTGCTTGAATCAATCGCTGAACTAAACTAACTTACAAAATCATGTGGGATAGAAGGATTTAGGCTGCTTTCCTAACATGTAAAGGAAGCGTTCGACGCAGAACAAATCAGAAGAGGTTGTTAAAATTATATTGACTGCGGGACGTCTGTTAATCGCAGACTTTAAGGTGCCGTAATTTTAGATGGCAGTTGCCTTCCAGGCTCTGCTCTGGTGTACCTCTGGAGAATTTTGCTTTGATGACCATGGACATATAGTAATTTGGGAATTTCGCATCCAATTCTAGGCAAATTTGCCGGAAAAATTGATAGATTCTTTGATTGAAGAGGTAACATATGGGTCCCTGAACTTAGGTATTTATACTATTCCAAGACATACTAATATTCTATAAGCAGAAATCTAATATGTTGTCCCCCCTCTCCTAACCCACATCCACTAGAATTCATCATATATTTCGTAGATAACATCTTTCATTTTACAGGCCGGAGCCGAGACTCGTTGTACCAGTCAAATGCGAAAACTAATTGATAAGATAAGCATGCGACAACGCCATAATGTGGACCTAGAAGGCACGATATTTTTCTCGTAAACATGCATTTCCCTCACGTTGTTTCTGTAGAGGACTGCAACTATATTGATTGTATGCAAGCTTGCAGCATATGAATCTTTTAATATTTTTCTGGCTCTGTGCATCAAGAATATCGCATTCTGCATTTCTGGATTGTCTCCAACCCCTCTAGCATTAAGTCCTTTTGGGGGTGAGTATCCTGTAGGCAGATTTCATGTTCAAAGGAGAGTTATAACTTGTTCCTTTGTTAAGCTAGAACTTACTTGGAAGATTTGAGATCTCAATACCAACCGGTATTGTTGAGCTAATTAGAAATCAATATATCGTTTTCTTTTAACAAATGTAACTATAATGAATGAAATTTATAATTTGTATATAATCATTTTCTTTTTCTTCTCGTGGTTTCATAATCTTCTATCTTCTGGTTGCACTTGGGTTTCAAGTTTCGAGTTTCAACACATCTCCGTGGAAATTAACCACAGTCATATGATTTATACACGAAGTATGATTGTATGAGTACACCAACTGTCATAGTAGTTGTTAGTGAAGATATTTCTAGATTTGTAGATGGTAAAGGGTGTTGGATCCTTAATCCAACATTGGGCTTATATGTAAAATAATTATGTGTTGCAGATTGTCATGTGAACTTAAGCCAATTAAAAGTGATCTAATAAGGTAATTGGGTTTTAATGTATCTGATAGGGTGTAGGCCTTTAATGTGTAGAGACTCTAGGGTAATTTCTATTTTTATGATGGGCTAAAATAGAAATACCAAAAAGAAGGGATAACAGAGTAGTTATCTATAAAAAGCGGTATGGTCCCCAGATCACAATATCACAGAATACATAACGTATTCTTTCTCTGGCATCCATCACCAGAGAAAGAGAGATCCCAGAGAAATAATAAAGGACTCTCTAAGGGAATGCGTAGATCTAGAAGGCCGTTCGCACGACTCTACAGATCAATCCCGCTATGGATTTTTTTTTGGTTAAAGTCCCGCTATGGATTCAGGTATGCTTTCGCTAATAAATCTTACAATTCTTAATGGTTCAGCATGTACGATCTATTTAGGTTGTGATGATGTACAACATAATTAGGTTTTCTGTTTCTTACAATTGGTATTAGAACTTACTCATGTTGGATCATTAGGAATTAAGTTAATTGTAAATTAGGCAAATCTGACCGTGAAAAAAAAAAAATCGCCGATTCTGGCCAAATTCCGATGACCCACAATCCGATTTTGGACTTAGACGGTCACACCGCCATAGGTAACAATAGCCCTAAGGTAATTCGGCATTTGGGTGTTCGCTGGAGGCTAATTGGGCGGTGGAAGTTTCGGTGGTTAGGGTTTGCGCCGGGAAAGAAATCTCCAAAATTAAGGCCAATTTGTGGGTCGTTTTTTGCCGATTTTAGGACCTATATGGTCGTGCCGGCGAGGAGAATAGGACCCATCGGTTAATTTGTCTAGAAAAAGGCCGCATGGAGGAGAATAGGCGGCGGTTCGCGGGCGTAGGTTTTATTTTCTGCCCGAAAGATCCCACGCGCCAATGCTGCGGTCCGGCGCGTGCTCCGCACGCGCTGCGCGTGGGTGTCACTTGCCCGGCGCTAAACACCCGCGTGCGCTACACGCGTGCATAGGGAACCTTGCAGTTAAAAAATAATAATAATAAATAAATAAATAAATAAAATAAGGGGTCAAAATTTTAAGTCCAATCAAATTCAAATTTGGGTATGTTAACATGTGTATATATATATATATATTGAGATGAATTAATTAAAGCAAGATGTCACCAAAGTGACCTCTTTTGTGGAAATTAATTTGTCTTAGAATATAAACGGTTGCGTATGTATAATTTTTGTGGATGTTGATCGGCCCAAAGGAAGGTTGATATTCAACAAAATTTTACATACACCTGTTGTAATAAACGCGTGATGATTATTCGGTTTTCGCATGTGAACAATAAATCGACCCAAAGGAAGGTTTGTTGTTTGACATGTCCTTATCGTCAATGTTTGATTGCTACACCAAGATATCACTTACAAGTTAATATTGTTGTCCAAAGATAAGATATTAATGGAGTGCCCAGTATGTTGAGATGGGATTTACCTTAATTTGAATTCAATTTTCTCATGAAACTTATGTGAGTTTGGTTTGTTTGTTTGTTGTTTTTTGATATAGCTATCACTCCTGCTAATATTACTGCCAACACCAATTCTATTCCTATGACGAATGGCACTAACTTCAAATCATGGCAAGAGAACCTTTCAATAGTTCTCGGAGTCATGGATCTCGACCTTGCGTTAAGGACTGATTCTCCTCCACCCCTCACTGACAAGAGTATCTCTGATGAAATAAGGGATGTGGAAAGGTGGGAGAGATCGAATCGCATGTGTATGATGATCATGAAGAAGGCCATTCCAGAAGCATTCAGGGGCACAATGTCTGAAAAGATCACCACAGCTAAGGAATTCCTCGCAGACATTGAAAAGAGATTTGTCAAGAACGAAAAGGCTGAAATTGGTACGATTTTGACAAATCTAATTTCAATGCGCTATAAGGGGAAAGGCAACATCAGGGAGTACATCATGGAATTGTCTCACCTTGCTTCTAAATTAAAAGCACTTAAGTTAGACCTCTTTGAGGATTTGCTGGTGCATCTAGTTTTAATATATCTTCCAACACAGTTCAATCAGTTTAAGGTGAGCTACAACTGTTAGAAAGAGACTTGGTCTCTAAATGAGCTCATCTCACACTGTGTTCGGGAGGAGGAAAGGCTGAAGCAAGATAAGGCAGAATATGCTTACCTGGCCTCAACCTCTAAGGACAAGGGACACAAAAGGAAAAGGGATAAGGAAGCTACGAATAAAGCGCCTAATAAGAAACAACAAAAGAAAATGGATAATCCGGAAGGTACTGGTTGTTTCTTCTGCGGAGCTGAAGGACATAGGAAGAAGCAATGCACAAATTATCACGCATGGCGTGCTAAGAAAGGTGTGTTTTTTAATTTGGTTTGTTCTGAGGTTAATTTAACTTCGGTACCTAGACACACATGGTGGATAGATTTTGGAAGATGAGGTCGACATTGGAATGATGGAAGATGATCTAATCAACTTCCATCAAGCCATGGAAAGTTCTAACTCTCAAAAGTGGATCGATGCCATGAATGAGGAGATTAAGTCCATAAAGGACAATGACGTGTGGGACCTCGTCCCATTGCCAAAAGGAGTGAAACCCATTGGTTGCAAATGGATATTTAAGACCAAAAGGGATTCAAAAGGCGATGGGGAAAGGTACAAAGCTCGTCTTGTCGCAAAGGGCTTTACACAGAAAGAAGGCATCAACTATAAAGAGACATTCTCTCCGGTTTCTTCGAAAAACTCTTTTAGGACTATAATGGCCCTAGTGGCACATTTCGACCTTGAGTTGCATCAGATGGATGTAAAGACAGCGTTTCTCAATGGTAACATTGATGAGACAATCTATATGGTGCAGCCAGAAAACTTTGTGTCAAGAGACTCAAAGAATATGGTCTGCAAACTTAAGAAATCCATCTATGGGCTCAAGCAAGCATCTCGACAATGGTATTACAAATTTCATCAAGTTATCATCTCATTTGGTTTTGAGGTGAATTTGGTCGATGATTGTATATACCATAAGTTCTGTGGGAGCAAGTATATTTTTTTGGTATTGTATGTTGATGACATCTTGCTTGCCAGCAACGATATAGGCATATTGCACGAAACCAAGAGATTTCTATTTAAGAATTTTGAGATGAAGGATCTTGGTGACGCCTCTTTTGTATTAGGCATACAAAT